CCCACCCCACCCCATCCCCAGAGTCGTCAGGAAGGGAGTGCTGGCTTTTGTCCTCTGTCTTACTCCTACCCTGACCCATGGCATCAGGAGTTGGTCCTGGAGACCCTCAGCAAATCCTCACCACGAATCACACTTCTGCAGGGGGAGAGACAGAGAGTCCCACTCTGGAAAGATCCAACCCCAAAGAGTCCCGTCACCACAGAGTCTCAGCTTCCCTCCTGGGACCCTGTGGGCTCAAGTTTCCCAGCCCTCATCATCTGGCCTAGACCCAGAAATGTCTCTAGTTCTCCTGGAGAGGGCATGCCTTTCACAGAGCAGGGTGTGAACAAGACACAGATCGGAGCAGTATTTACTGTGGGGTCACACCCATAGCCTGACCTGACCGGGGTTTGGCCCTATCTCTGCCACCACCCACTGGGGTGCAGGCACAGGCCAGGCTCTCTATGACCACCAGCCAAGCCAGGCTCCAGCAATGACAAGGACCCAGTGGGAGGTGGCTCTGTCTTCACACCTGTCCTGGCTCCTGGGAAGGAGAGGCCAGGACACAATACCAAAGATAAGTGGATGAGACCCAAGAGGTAATGACTTATGCTTTCTTTGGGGGTCTTAGGAGGAATACTTCATTCTTAATAGCTCAGAATAACTCTTTAATTTTAGCTCCATTTGAATCTAAATGGAGAAGTGCCAAGAATTTTAGGCAACTCTCTGTACAGCTGTGCAGAGGAGGCCCAGATCAGGTGTGACCCCGAGTATAGGGGACAAAACCGGACATGAGAAAGGGAGGAGATAGGTGCGGTCACTGCAGGCCTGAGACCCCATCTAGGACACATACATCGGTTTGCAGATGAAGCAACAGACCCAAGACAGGCTGAGCCCCGGTGCCAGCCCAGAGTTCTCATCCACACCACTTCAGTCTTCCACCTGCCTTTCACAGCCCTCGAGGCTCCATAAATGCCAGAACCATATAGTCTGAAGTGCAGATCCCCGAAGGGAAGGCATCTGCTGGCGGAGACGCAAGCTTTGGGATGCGGCAGAAGTGACAGCAACCGAGTTCCTGCCTGCCCCGTCTCCGCCCCTCCCTGGCTGTTTTCTGTGCTGTCAGAAACCTAACACGAGGCAAAAAGGCCAGTGTGAACCCCAAGAACCACTTGTGGGTGTCTGGAGAAGCAGCAAGCCAGAGGTGGTTGTGCAAACAAGTTGAAGACACCCCCACCCTGGGCCCGAGGCCAGGGACTTCCAGGGCAAACTACTCATGTTAAAAATGAGGAAGCAGAGGGATACCCCCATGCAACAGAAGACTTCCCAGCAACGACAAAGGACAGATTGCAGACACACACGATGTCACGAGTGACTCAAAAGCGTTAAGCTGAGTAGAAAAAGGCAGACTCAAAAGGCTATACCAGAGTGACTCTGCTTATATGCTATTCCAGAAAAGGCAAAACTATAGGGTCCACAAACCAATCAGGACTGGCGGGTTTGGGGGGAAGTACTATGTTGACCTTGGTGGCAGCTACATGACTATGCATTTGCCAAAATTCACAGAACTGTGTATCTCCAAAGGGTAAGTTTTACTGTATGTCATTTGTACCTCAAAAAATCTGGGGATGAGGTGGCAGTGGTGAGCCTTATAGAGGCAGGAGGGATTATGGGGGTAAGATGATTTCCAGGCTGCTGATCTGTCCCCCACTTAACATTTATGAAGTGTTTTCCTCCCCTACATAATAACAAGCGTGTCTCTGGCCTCCTGCTTAAACTCTCCTTGTCAAAGCTACTCCCAAGCTGGAAGTAAATTCACCTACACAAGCCAAGGTCTTTGATGTCCTCTGAATTTTATGGCTCGTATTTCCAAGAAGGGACTTTTGCACACATCCACTAATCTAGTAATTGATTGGTTTTTCACAAAGGGTCTAGAAAACAAACCCCTGGTTTGTGAATTAGCACATGTTTGCTCAGCCGTTAATCAGCCCTGACAGGCAGAGAAGGGCCTCCCGCTGCAGAGTCTCCTTGGTCAACAGGGCACTGAGTGGAGGGAGGACAAAGGCCCAAAGCGGTCCCATTGCCACGTGACTGACCCAGCCTGTGCACTGCAGACTTCATCTAAAGCACAAGAAAAAGTAGAAGGTAACTGACTCTTCCTGACGCTTGTTGTAGCACCCAACTCACTTTCAACACTGTTTTTCTTAAGAGGTTTTTTTTTGTTTTGTTCTGTTTTAATCAGGCTTCCACAAATAAAGCTCATCCATCAGCCTCTCCCAGGTGGGGACAGGTAGAAGGGACTGACTTGTTCTCAGAAGGAGAACAATGGATCACGTTCTCAATAATGGCCCAGACCAGCCAACTCTGAATGAAGGGAACCAAATCCTCTCCTAACCTAAGCACCAACATATAAACAAAAGCAAAATAACCACCCCCCAGATAGTGTACTCGCTCCTCCAAAGTGCACTTTTTGATTTTCTCAACTTCATCTTCATCTTGATTTCATGGGATGGGCTCAGGGGAGACTGTTAACAGGAACAGGGGTTCCAACCCTGCTTGTAATTCACTTTCATTTCTGGGCACTTGTTGACTGTCTTTGGGCTTCACCCTTCCTATGTGAAAAGTGAGGAGAGTTATTCACAATAAATAACTCTGAAAATGGCATTGGACATGGGCTTTGCAGGACTGGTGACCAGGTGATTAAAATCTTCTTGGTGTCTACGTCCCAACCACTAGGCAGATGCCTCATGGCGTAATTTATAGTTAAAGGGTCCCAGTGGGTTAAGTGTGGAAAGGTGCAATGTTCTTCTTCTCTAGAAGTATCTAAACATCACCCTGGAGGATAGAAGAGATGGGGAGGGGCCCTGATTCACAACAACAGCTCTGCCTCTCAGTACAATGCCTGGCTCATCAGAGCAAATGAATGAGTGAACACAGATCAACCAGGACCACAGACAGCATGGCTGAGAACGGGAGTTTGGCAGAGAGCAGCTGTCTGTGAATGCCAAGGTCACTGGGCTGCAAGGCCCCTGGGGAAAAGACAATTCTACACAAAACAAGAGGTCATGGGCTTCTCTGGGGACAGGGCCAGAGCTCAAACTCAGATTAGATTTTAGCACACTGCTTGGCCTTAAAACGCTTGATGAATGTATAACGGAGGGAAGAATACAAGAAAAGAAGTATGTGAAGAGGCTGAAGGGTAGGAGGAGAGGGGATGAGAAGGAAAGAATGGCCTCAGGAAATGGACTGGCTCAGACTGGGTCAACTTGGGCTACTACAAGAAGAGGCAAGAGAGCTCCTCACGCCCCGGCCCCGAAGAACACTCTGGCATCCTCAGACTGCAATGGACACCAAGTCAGTGAGCCACACTGCACTCAAAGCATCTGTTCTAACAAGGCTATCAGCTTCGCATATTTGAAAATCATCCACAACTTGTTTACTAGTCCACAAGGCAATTACCCCTAGCACCCGGTTTTAATAAAGAAACCAAGAAATAATATTCTAAAATTGGTAGCTGGTGTCATGGCCCAACCCCGCATCCAGAAGGAGTGGTTCTCCAGCCACAGACAGATCCCACCAGGTGCCCTGATGCTGGTGAAGGCCACACTGGCCTTTTGGTTGGGAAATTTCAGTAAGAGAAAAGTGACAAAGTTTGTTTTAGTGCATCTTTCTAATATCAACTCTAAGAAAGCAATCCTGACTTAGGAAAGAAGTGCCAAAAGATCCAAGATTAAGAAGTCACCAGTTACAGTAAACCCGAGAGAAAGGCCAGTGAGTTGTGCTTGTAGAATTCTTCCCTTACAGATGTGGGGGTCAAATCCAGAGTAATGGGAATGACTGAGAAAGATGGACTCCCAGGTAGTGAGATGTGGCTACTACCCGTCCGTGGCTGGCTCTTCTCCCAGCCCCTCTAGACTGACATGACGAAGAACCTGTCTGCTATGATACACAGAGGGGAGAGTGATGAGCTGGATCCAACAGCATGTTGAAAGCTTCCCAAGTCACACTTGAACTAGGTTTTTCCGAGAATCAGAAGATGGAAAGAGGGGAAGGAGGTGTTGGTACCAAGTGAGGGCTTGTGTAGGGTTCTGGAATGTGCTGAAGGAGCTGGACAACCTATTGAGCCATGAGAGAGCCTGTAAAGCCTGTCCAGTGCCCACCAGTGAGAGAAAGACTTATAAGGGACAGTGGTCCTGACCCCACCGTGTACAGGCAGGTGGAGCCACCTGGGAGTCCACAAAGCCTGGCCTTGAACTATCTCCCATATGGGACTGATCCAGCCCCATTAAGAGCCCTTGGTGGGCGGCCTGGCAGAGGAGACCCCAGCTGGCCTTCTTGCCTGCCTGGCCTCTAAGACCAGGTTCATTTCCAACCCTTAGGACAAGGTGGATGGAGTCTTGATCGCTAAGAACTTTAGGCAGCTTCCTCTAATGATACTGAAAAAGGGCAGCGGAGCGGGGGGGGAGGGGGGAGTGCGGGCTTCCCTGGGAAAGCAGTGGAGGAAGGGGTGGGTTGGGATTTCCAGAGACTTTACAGACAAGGCCTGATCTGATAGGAGACATGACTCGACGTTCCAACTTGGGGCTGATTTGCCAAATGAGGTAGTTCCATCCTGACCTCTCCAGGCAGGGCTGGTCTGGGAAGACAGGAGCCAGGCCTTCCTCCCAAGACCCCTGGTGATGGGATGCGGATGAGCAAAGCCAGGTGTGGCTCCCAGGATGAATGGGGCAGGTAAGGAGGGAGGGCTGCAAAGGACTCTGGGTGCGGCTGCGAGCTGACCAGTGCCTTCCTGATGCGAGGCATGGAGATGGAGACCTCCCTCCCCTGACCCTGTAAAGCCCTGCAGACAAGGGAGCCAGTTGGAGCAAGGTGGGGCTTCCAGGGACACAGGTATGTGATGGCGACCCCTACAGTTTGTTCTCAGGGTGCAAGCAGAGCATGGGAGATGGGGGGCTTCGGCCTCAGAGACAAGGGAGGGCTGTGGGTCCGTCTTCTTGCCCAGGGAACGTTGGGGACCCCCCCCACCTCCAGCTATGCTGTCAAGGTCGCCTTTCTGGAATCACCAGCTCTTTCCCCTTGCCTCAGTGGCCCAGGAGAGTGGGTGGGGGACAGCTCCACTAAGCAGCAGGCCCCACGGCGGGAGCTGCCACTTCCTCTCTGTGGGACCCCCAGCCCCTCTTCTGGGCAGGACCCCCCAGGGCCACCGGGCACATCTAGATCTCCATGTCCACGGGGCGGATGTTGCCTGTTTTGTGCTCCCTGACCCACAGCTCCCTGTCTTTAGCTGGGTCCACTTTTCGAAGCAGTTGGTCCACAGGCTCGACCGTCTGCAGAGGACAGAGAAGAGGTTACATTGTCAGAGGTGGCGGCTGAGCTGAAGCCAGGTTGCCCTCTCCTTAGCGCCTCTCAGAGCAGCCTCTGTAGAGGGTTCCGGCCCCAGGGGAGGCCCATTGGAGGGACAGAGCATGCAGAGGCCTGTGATAGCAGGCAGCCCATAACTTGTGCCGGCTCAGCCTCTCACCCCACAGACCCCAGGCCTGAGTGGGAGGGCAGGTGGGCCTGTGAGGCTTATAGTCTCTGTCCTCTTCCTCTGATTGTCCTAGTCTCTGTCCTCTTCCTCTGATTGTCCCCATGTTTATCACCAGAGAACAGGACGAAGGGAATTTTAGCTTTAGGTATTATGACTATTTCTAGAAGTTGGTCTGTTTTGCTTAAGAAATAAAATATGGATTTGCATGGAGGTCCAGGGCAACCCTGACGAACTTGTCTCAAGAGGTTGCCCATGGGCTAAAGCACCTGCCCACTGCCCACACACACATTCGCAGTGGCTGCTTAAGCTGCCATGGCATAGTACCAGTTGCTGTCCCTGGCCCGTGCTGCCCAGGGGCCCCGCTGCGCCGGCCACTCACGCTTTGGTTGAACATGTCTGTCTCGTGCCGCAGCTGGGTGTACTGGCACAGATGCTGCCGGATCATCTCCACTCGTTCCACCTCCAGCCGTTCCAGCTCCTGCCAAGGAAGGAAGGGGCAGAGACCTCTGAGCCTGGTTCCTCAACTTGGGGATCTTCCCAGCAAGGAGACCCTAGACCAGTCTGCACATAAAACACAAGTCACTAGCTGCCTCTTAACAAGTCCCATCTGATGCCTAGAGGTCTGGTGAGGAACCTGCCTGGTATCTGGGGTGAGTGTGAAGCTGGTGACAGCAGAGCTGCAGCTTTATTTCCTGAAAGCCTGCTCTTCTAGGCAGCGTGCTGAGGACTCACTACATGTGATATTCAAGCATCCTCATTATAGCTTCAAAAGAGCTTCTGCTGTTATACCCCTTCTGTAAGCAAAGGTACTGATGCCTAGAGAGGCGATGAGAATTGTCCGAAGCAACACAGAGTTATGGAAAGGGCGGGATTTAAATCAGGGTCTGCTGGGGTCTTACTCATCACTGTGCACCAATTCGGTCCCAGCCGTGTACCCTGATATAGAGGGATAGGGAAGAGGCCAGGCCAGGGGAGGCAGAGAGGGCTGGGGTGGGGGGGCAATCATTGTCAAAGGGAAGAGTGAAAGGGCTCGTCCTTTGGTGTCTAGATGGCTCCGTGTCTTTGCAACTTAGGGGATCAGGCTATTACTCTGTGCACAACTAGGTCACCCCCCAGGTGATTAACCAGAAAGGGGGGTCAAGCAGGGGGGCTTAATTAGGAGATTAACCAGGAGGAAAACAAGGTCACTGTGTCTGGTGGGGGCCTCTAATCTGCTCTGGTGGGCTGACGTCTGGGCAGGCCGTCTTTGGACAGTGGGAGATTCCAAATAGTACTCACTGTGTCCCATCTGACCAACAGCCCAAACACCAGCCACAAGACACTGTCCCACTCAGGCGGGTACTGACTAACAAGCAGATGAAGTTCCATTCCAGGAAACACTCAGGAAGGCATCATGGGCTCTGCTGCCCAGCCCCCATACCCTTGGTCAGAGGCCTCCCTGCCCCCTGCCTCCCCACAGCTCCCTGACACTGTTCACACAACTTGCAAAGACCTTGCAAGGATTTGCAACTCTTCATGTGTGGAGTGTCGGGTCCTTCTTCCTATAGCTCAGCTATTTGTCTTAAGGGCCACTGTCTGCTCAGTTGGGAGGATGTCCTCAGTTGATCCTGATCTCTCAGGGGATAGCCCAAAAAGAATACAGCTAGACCCAACCCTTACCCATGTTTGTACAGCTAGAAAGTGTACTGCAGGGATTTGAATACACTTATACTGGACAGAATGAGGTCTTGACCCCAACACTGAATGGATCTAATGATCCCCAGGGTCACCCAACTTCATCACCCCTCAGGTCTGCCACCACCTGTACCAGGCCCCTATACCATCTTGCCCACTGTCCCTGGTCACTTACCAGTGTGGTGGTCACCATCTCCTCAAACCACTTGGACTGGGCCTGATTGTAGAGGTCCACACAGCGCATGAGGTCATCTCCTGGGAAAAGACAGCAGTTACCATCACACTCCATCCTGTCCTCACCATGGCTATCCCTCCCCACTTGTGCTCCATGGCCATTCCCTCTTCTTCCCTTGGGATATGGTGGCCACTGGAAAGTTTGAGGTGGTAGTAGGAAGAAGGGAAAAGCAGAGTGAAGGGAGGGAGGTAGGAAAGAAGGAAGGTAGGAAAAGAGGGAGGAAGGGAGGGAGGAAGGAAGGAAGAGAGGGATGGAGGGAGGGAGGGAGGTAGGAAGGGAGGGAGGGAGAAAGGGAGGAAGGAAAGGAAGGCAGGCAGGCAGGCTGGCCAGCAAAGTAAGAGACCAGCTTCAGGGTGTCCACCTGAACTTGACCCTGGATATGAAGAATACAGGATGGGAGTTCTCACTGTGGGTGTGTGGGGGGTGTATTCCTAGGACCTCCAATCCTATCATGAGCTCAAGAAACTCTTTCTTCTGTAAAGATGACCATTTTATTTTACATTGGTGAGTCCAGATTGGCTAAAACACGTGTCACAAGCAACTGAGTACTGATAAGACTTCAGGAAGAGAAATCTGCAAGACACATCCATGTGTTTGCACACTTGTGTCCACACAACAGAACGTCACTTGGAAACACAAAATAACGTGTCTGATGGCTTACAGCCCATTCATCTTTGCCATCACAGTGTGAAACACGGAGAGCAGTTATCTTCAGAAGCAGAGAGGGTGAGGGGCAGGAATTAGTTGTTCTATAGAATTTGATTTCAACAGAGAAAGATCTAAGGAAAACATAACTATTAAATCCTTACATCTAGTACATTTTTTCTGTTGTCAGAGGTATGTTACATTTTGTAATCTGAAAGGAAACAAACTGCAATGTAACTGCAAACATTCCTAAGTGTCCCAGCGCCTGGGAACCTCAGTACACGACACACAGCCTGTGGACCAGTAGTACTAGTTCCCCTGGGGCCACTTGAAAGTGCAAACCCCACCCCACGATGTACCCAAGACCCACAGGATCAGGAACTGTGTTTTCCCAAGCACTTTGTTGAGGGGACACACGTCAGGGCTGGAGAGGCACCGCGCTGGGGCGTGGCTCCATCTAAATGTGGCTTCCTGATCTTCACAGGGCCCCAGCCAGAGGAAAGCATCATGATCTTTGCTCATGATGGGAAAAGCTCACAAGCCCATCCCAAAGCTAACCGACTTATAGGTCAGTTCTATCGGTCATTCTAGTAGCTCCAGAAGTCAAATTCTAGAGTAGAATCTAGTAATTCGAGTAGATTCAAAATTACTCCTATAACATCATTGGTGCTCACGTGTATTCTGATAGGAAAGTGAAAAAAATGGGGAGAAATGTACACAGACCCAAATTCTAGCTCAGTATACCAGCTCCCCCATCCTTGCTAGCCACACCACTAGCTGCACCACACACGGGGATGTGAGGCTGCCTTGCCACAAGTGCTGAGCCTTGTTGTCCAAACAAGGGATTTATTCACTTTGTTCTTGGTCCAAGGCCAAGAGGCCCTGAATTGGAGTGCAGAACCTGGATACTGCCCTGCAAACGCATTTCCACCGAGAACACACCCCTGACGGAGGATGTCAGCATGTTGCCTTATAAATGCAGACGTGCAAGTCCCAGAGCCCTATTCATCAATCCCAATTTCCAGAACATGCTTCAGGAACTTCCACAGCATCAGGAAACAGAGCAGGCAAAGATGGTGTGTCTCCTCTCCATGGAAGCCCATGGGTTTGAAATTGGACCCTTTGGAATAGCACCAGTTAAGAATATGGATTCTGGGACCAGAATGTGTGAGTGTCATCTTAATTCCACTATTTATTTATTAGATATGTGATCTTGGACGAGTCATTTAACCTGCCTGTGCCTTAGTTTCTCCACCCATAAAATAAGGCTAACGATTGTGCCATCACATAATCATAAAAAATGCAGATGCCGATATACATAAAGTGCTTAGATCAGGGACTGGTGCAGAGAGCAAAATATCAATGTATGCTATGGGGACAAGGACAATGAACTGAAGGAAAACCTCAGAGGATCCAGATGCCCTTCCTTCCAGCAACCTTGAGAAGATAAGTAAGAAGGAGGAAAGAGAACAGGGAGAAAGAACCGCTGGCATTTTTCTGAGTAATAGGCTGTCCAGCAAAATGGTAACAAGCAGAGTCTTTGGACAAGAAGAGACTGGATTCTGGCTTTGCCACTGTGGGCCTTAGGAGAGTTTCTCATCCTCCCTGCCATCAGTCTCCTCACTGGTAAAAGGATAAAAACACCTCTCTTTACAAGAGCATGTGCAGATCAAAAAAGACAACACTAAGTCTAAAGCATGTAGCTTGGTGCCTGGCACACATTAAGGGCTCAGAAAAGGTGACATTTACACGCATAGTGGTTAGGCCTAAGGACTAGTTGCTTTTATCACAAAATCATTCCAAATTATAGGAATAAAAGACCATATCATCTGATAACAATGCAATAAAACTAGAAAAAAATAGCAAGATTAGGAAGCAACGGTAACAAAGTCCTTGCTTGTAAAAATGTAAAGATATTCTTTGAAACCGCTCTTGGTGAATTCAAAGACGAACTCAACTCCAAATGGCCAAATACCTTGAAAACAGCAGAGATGAAAGCACTACAAAGAAGAATCTGTGGAATATGGTCAGAGCGCCGACGTAAGGAAAGAAACCCAGGGAATTAAAAGAAAAATCTTGCACAAGGGGGCGGTGCCTGTGGCTCAGTAGGTAGGGTGCCAGCCCCATATACTGAGGGTGGCAGGTTCCAACCCAGCCCCAGCCAAACTGCAACAAAAAAATAGTTGGGCATTGTAGCGGGCGCCTGCAGTCCCAGCTGCTCAGGAGGCTGAGGCAAGAGAATCACCTTACGCCCAGGAGTTGGAGGTTGCTGTGAGCTGTGTGACGTCATGACACTCTATTAAGGGCAATAGAGTGAGACTCTGTCTCTACAAAACAACAAACAAACAAACAAACCCAAAAAAACATTCTTGATAAGACAGTCTCAAAACCTAAACTCCACAAGAGAAAAGACTGAGGCTGGGCACAGTGGCTCATGTGTAATCCCAGGACTCTGGGAGGCCAAGGCAGGTGGATCGCTTGATCTCACAGGTTCTAGACCAGCCTGAGCAAGAGCAAGACCCGGTCCCTAAAAATAGCTGGGTGTTGTGGTGGGTGCCTATAGTACCACCTACTTGGGAGGCTGAGCCAAGAGAATAGCTTGAGCCTAAGAGTTTGAGGCTGCTGTGAGCTATGACAGTAGGGCCCTCTACCGAGGGTGACAAAGTGAGACTGTCTCCAAAAAAAAAAAAAGACTGCTGAACAGAAGAATAGCAGAAGGGTTAACTCCTTAATGTATAAAGAGTCCAGGCTCGGTACCTGTGGCTCAAGTGGCTAGGGCACCAGTCACATACACCTAGGGGGCGGGTTCGAATCCAGCCCAGGCCCACCAAACAACAAGGATGGCTGCAACCAAAAAATAGTCAGGCGTTGTGACAGGTGCCTGTGGTCCCAGCTACTTGGGAGGCTGAGGCAAGAGACTCTCTTGAGCCCAGAAGTTGAAGGTTGCTGTGAGCTGTGATGTCACAGCACTCTATCCAAGGGGACAGCTTGAGGATCTGTCTCAAAAAAAAAAAAAAATGTATAAAGAGTCCACAGTCAGCCACTCAGCAAGAAAATGGAGACTGGATATGAGGTAATCAGTTCATAGAGAAAAGGTAAAAAATGATTCATGTTTTTGAAATGCTCATGGAGAAATGCAAATTAAAAACAAAATACATTATTTGTGAAGAGACACCAGTGACTTTACACAATACTGACAAGCATTTAGGCAAGAGGCACGCATAGTACCGTACTTTCTGGAAAGTAATCTGGAATATCCCTAAAAATGAACAAAATTCTTTGGACCTGCCATCTATGCTCTCTCTATGCAGATCTTGTTGTACACACACACACACACACACACAAAGATACAGTTCCCAGCATCACTGTTATTGGCAAACACTCTGAAACAATCTCAAAGTCCTAAAAATTGGCCTGGTGTGATGGCTCACATCTGTAATCCTAGCATTCTAGGAGGCTTAGGTGGGCGGATTGCTTGAGCTCAGGAGTTTGAGACCAGCCTGAGAAACAGGAAGACTCTATCTCTACTAAAAATAGAAAAACTAGCCAGGTGTCCTGGAGCACACCTGTAGTTCTAGCTACTTGGGAGACTGAGGCAAGAGGACTATTCAAGCCCAAGAGTTTGAGGTTGCTGTGAGTTATGATGCCACGGCGGGGGCAACAGAGTGAGGCTCTGTCTCAAAATAAATAAATAAATAAATAAATAACAAAAATGAAATAGAAGTCCTAAAAATCAATTAAAGGGATGATAAAATAAATTTGGGTAGAATCATACAACTAGACACCAGTCAACCATTAAAAAGTTTCATAGGCATGAATGGCTGCATAAACAGATTTATAAGTAATGAATCAGAGATATATTAATTAAAAAGGAAGCTCAGAAGGTAGAGTATATGATCTACCTTAAATACATTTAAATATACATATTATTTAAAAATTAAAACACTAGGCAGGAAGTGATGGTGATTATTTCTGGTGAATAACATTTTGTATTTTTGTGTGCTGACCAAAATATTCTTCCAGGTACCAAAGTTATTTCTGCAGTGTAACTTAGTTTTAAATAAGTTAATACATTTGACAAATGTAAATATGCCTGTTTCTTTCCTAGGTAATACATATATTATGCCTTCTACTTATGGATCCAGGAATTTATTATTCCAGAGACAATACACATGTTTTACATGCACATGTCCTTGCATGTAGTCAAACTCATCTTTTAGAAATATCCCGTCTTCTACCTCCCCCTGTGTATTGGCTAATTTGTACCACTAGGTGGAAGCAGAAACCACCTTACTGGTGGGCTCTCTCCAAGAGACTCTAAAATCTGGTTCTTTAAATAAAATGTGGGCCTCTCTCCATCCTGGGGCAGGAGCCCAAACCTAGTGAGTGTCACTTCCTGCGGAGTTGGGGCAGCTTGTGTGGGGTGTGCATTTCTGTGGGCTTTGAGCAGAGACAGTGCTCTGAGCTTGCAAGGTATGGAAGAGTTTGTCCACCTCCTCGTCTGAGATCCAGGGTTTGGAGGTGGGGGTGGCAGGGAAGCTATCACTAGGGAGAGTGAGGAGTCCAGCCCCCACCATGGCCTGAAAACAGCTCGGCCTGCTCCCAGCCCTGGACCCCCAGGGTTATGTCATTGGGATCCCTAGGCAGACAGGAGAGAAGGTGGTCTGCAGTCTGGCAGAGGAGCCTCTCCGTCTCGGCCTCTGGCCCTGCCCTCTGTGCCGTGTGGCTCAGTGGGCGGATGCCCTGCACTCACCAGCCTGTGTGGACTTCCTCCGGGCCTTCTTGATGTCCTCCTCTGTCTTGTTGCTCAGCTTGATCTCCAGCTGCTGGGTCTTCATCTCCAGGTCTCTCTGCCGCTCCGTGAGAGCTTTCCGGGCCTGCGGTCCAACGACAGGACATGGAGATGCTGTTTGTAAAGCCCAGGGCTGGGGGCCTCACGGGACACATGGCCGGCCTCCCTTTTGTCTGCACGAGTTCCTCCTTTTCCCTGTTTGTGTGGATCATGTCACAGTGGCTCGGAAGGGCCAACCCTCCAGAGTGGTCCCACCCAGCCAGTGAGGGGCAATGCAGGGCTGCAACCCTGGTCTTGTGTCTCTTTCCATGACAGCTGGACTCAGCTTCTGTCTCTCTCTTAGACCGTTTTTTGTTGGAGCTTGTATGTGGTCTGGGGACACAGGCAGTGCTAAAATCTCAGCTTCTCAGGGTTGGAAGTGACCACAAAGGCCACGTGTGTCACCTCCCAGCAGTGCTTTACAGGCTGGCAGCATGAACTAGCCACTGTGGCCCCCTCACGCCCCACCCCTCCCATGCCTGCCTTTCCGCCTGGAGGAAATGCCTCCAGCAGGTCCACGGCCCTTTGGTGGGGGTAGCTGGCCACGTGCAGGGTAGTGCCCATGATGGCACCACCTCCTTCCCTCCAGAGCCTCCAGGTATGACCACCCATGGCTCTGTCCACTCTCTGAGCAGGATGGGGAACCACTGGACAACTGGGAATGGGATGATTTAGTCAGGAGAGAATCTACCAGGTAAGGCCTGGACACAGGGACCACATGAGGACCAGTAGCACATCGAGGCTCTGTGCCTACAAAAATACGGGTGTGTCTAGTCTTCTGTATTTAATATTTAAATATAAATATTATTTAAAAATCAAAATGCTAGGTAGGAAGTGATGGTGATTATTTCTGGTGAATAACATTTTGTATTTTTGTGTGCTGACCAAAACATTCTTCCTGGTACCAATGTTATTTTTGCAGCATAACTTAGTTTTAAATAAGTTAATACATTCAACAAATATAAATATGCCTGTTTCTTCCCTAGGTAATACATATATTATGCCTTCTACTTATGGATCCAGGAATTTATTATTCCAGAGGCAATACACATGTTTTACACGCACATGTCCTTGTAGGCAAACTTTAAATAAGTAATACATTCAACAAATTTAAATATGCCTGTGTTTTACACACACATATCCTTGCATGTAGGCAGCCCATGCTGCCCCCCAGGGCAGCTGCAGCCTCTCCTCACTCTGCTGGCCCTCTGGGTGGCCCTCCGAGTACCACAGGAAGACAGCTCCTACCTGCCTTTTGGATGGGTGGGGTTCTCAGGTAAGGGTGTGAGGCTCAGCCACCACCGCGCCCCACATGGGGACAAAGGCCCACCCTCCTCCAGCATCCTGGCCTGCCCAGGCCGCTCACCTTCTCCACCGCAGCGTAGCGGCTGGCGAGCTGCTTGCGGAGGTCGGCGATGTGGTGGTCACACTTCTTCAGGTCTTTCTTGAAGTTCTCACGAAAATTCATCAAGGGCTTCTCCACCTCAGTGTGAAGCTGCCGTGGACAGAGGAGAAGCACACTCAGGCCCCAGGGCCCTCACTGCCACCCCGTGGAGTGCGGGGGCACCCCCTTCCCCTGGCATGTGAGAGTGAGTCTGAGACGGTGGCCCAGCCTGATAGGGAGGCAGGACAAGAGGTCTCGGTTTGAGCAAGTCACCTTAGCTCACCAGGCCCCAGCCTGCCTATCTACCAATGAGTGGACAGAGCTTGCCAGACCCCACCTCCGCTAACTCCTTCCTCCTCTCAGCCTCCACAGCCACTACTTCTTTTTAATTTAAAATTTTTCCATTGTCTGTATTTACGGTGTACAACTTGAGGTTTTGCTATGCACACTCTGTGGGCTGTGTGAAGCAGCTAATCCACACACCCAGGACCTCACGTACCCACCTGGGCTCCACAGGTCCCTGCAGGGCTTTGCTTGTGCGCCTCTCTCCTTTAACTTTCCACACTGGGAGCTCTCTGGGGCAGACAGCTTGTCACCTATCTGTGTCCTGAGTCTCTTAGCTCACTGGGTTAGTTGGGGACACAGGCACACTCACCATCCCCACCAGAAGGGACCAACTGCCCTTGTATTCCAAGGGCCAAAGAGAGTTATACTTTGAGAGAGCTTGGTGACATCAGGTTTTCAAGCTTTTTCTCCTCTTTTATTCTTCCCTCTTTCCCACCCTTCTATTTTTTTTTTAAAAAGACATTTTCTTAAAACTTTTTTGGGGGGGGGTTGTGAGCACAGAATTTCTTTTATAAGAAAACATATTGATGTGCACCTGCTCTGGCCAAGGCCAGGCAAGCATGTCCCCCTGACTCGGTCTCGGCACCCCTTACCTTCAGCCTATGTCCCCTCCACTCATCCCAGGGGGGCCTCTGGGGAGCACAGCTCAACTACCCTGGACCAGCTCCCAACTCTTGCGATTCTGTGACTGCTCTCTTCCCTCTCCTCACCAGGTTTCTGCTACATTGTCTTTTTATCCTGGGACCACCAGGCTTTAGGTGTTCCTGTGCTAAACCAGTGGCCCACATAGGACTGTGAGCTCCAAGCAGGCTCCAATGTGGCTTGACCACTGCCATCCACAGTGTCCTCCCAAAGCTGGTGCAGGGTGGGTGCCCCCCTTCTCTGTTAGAGAAAATGACAAATTCTTCATTGCCGAACCCCTAGGTGACAAAAGGACAGCTTTGCTGTTGGATGATTAACAGAGAACGGGCCATCCCAACACACCCCTCTCCTCCTGGTATTAGCTGTAAATGTGTCTTATTATTTTAACCCCTAGAACTTTCCTTATGTAGGAAAACATCCCCATCTGGTGGCAATCTGTGGGATGTTACAGAAAACTTGAGAGCTCGTGAGAACAAAGCCCTTTCCATGAACACAGGTCAGGCATTTGTTGCCCCACAGGAGTCCAACTCAGCCGCCCTGGGACCCTGAGGCCAACACAGTAACCCTGGGGTCTTTCTAAGGACCTGGAAAGCAAGTGACCATCAGACTTAAATGTACCCAGGACCAAGCTGTAGGAGTTTTCAACAGTAAGGTTTTCTGGGCCCTAGTGTCAGGTTCTGTGGCTGAGGAAGGGCCCATGAACCTTCTAAGACGTCAAAGTCTTTCCCCAGATTCGAATGACATTCTGGAAATGTAATGCTGCCAGCTGTCAGAAATGATTCCGGCCCAAAGATGAAGATCTGTGGGTCTTCCATCTCTCTACCGATACTAAGTACTTTTTAAATACATAATTGTTTTCTTTAAAAAACAGAAAAAGAAGTTAGCTTGGTTAGCTTTTAAGATTCATTCTTAACTTTAAAGAATTTTGGGAGTCAGGAGTCCTTCCTGTAAGTGTGTCCCTGTTTCCCAATGTCCAGGCCACGGGTGTCACTCACTTTGCCTTTCTGAAACTCTCTGCCTCTTTTTTCTTTTCACCTCCCACATCAGGAGAGAATCAAAGAAATTTCAAGTTGGAAGGGATTTCAGAGACTGTCTAGTCGAGTGTTTTTTTAGACAGTGGGTGGCCAAGAGTTGTGAAATCAATTTAATGAGTCAGGACCAGCTTTTTGGTGAGAATAGACTGGACTTGAATAGGAAATATCAGAGTATGTTTTCAGTAGGAGGAAAAATACTGTTTCATGAAACATTCATTTCAGCTATATGTGTGAGTGCCCATCTGTATGTGGCCACGTGTAGGTGTGTTCTGAGTGCTGGTGTAAAATGTAGCTGTAGGTCACTGTCAAGTAAGTTTAAAGTTGCTGATCTAGTCTGAATTCTTCCTTCCACACTGGAAGAAATGGAACCCCAGAGGTGCTAAATGACTGATTTGCCCAAGGTCACGGAGCTTGTTAGTGAAACAGTGAGATAAAACTCCTGACTTCCTTGCCCCTAAAATTTGTTCTGACTGAACACACAATCTCTCCTGCAGGATGAGATTTCTTCCCAACAGAAGGAATTTTGCTCTTCTCCCTTCTTCAGCTGGAGCCAGGTATAACCTCCTTTGTATACAGAAACCTGTTTCTTTAGCAACCTGTTGCTATTAGCAATGGCTTGAGCTAGAAGACTAAAAAAGCCAGAAAAATTGCTGTAACGAAAATTGCATTTCTTAAAGAGTTTTTACCCCTGGTACAGAACATTCAGAGCAGAATTTCAATAAGCCTTTTGGAGCAGACATTAAAATGGGTTTTCAGCATATGGAGTTATATTATTCATGGCAGACAAATAAATCCTGGGAGCCTCTTTCGTCTCAAGGAATTTCCATAAAACCATGAGGCTGCTACTATGATTGCCCGGGGCCATGAGTGCTGACCGGCAAGCTGAAAACAGCAGAGGCTGCTGTGAGTGACTGTTCATAAGCCTCTCATCAGCTGAAAGGTGGAGTAAGTTTGCCTCCTGTCATGAACCCTGGCTTAAAATGTTCTGACCATTAGGTGGTGTGGGACCAGCCTGCACCACCCTGTTGGCATCCCCTGGGAGGACAAAGTGCCCCTCCAGAACAGGATTCTGTGTTTGCGATACCACCAGTCTGTTGATGAGTAAGGGCCACCAAAGAAAGGTCTGGGGAGCCGGTCTCTCAGTCCTCTCCTCTGCTTCCTTCATGGCTGAGTTTCCTTGGTTGGGTGACCACAGGCTGTGATTTCACCTCCCTGCTCCTTCTCATTGTGAAACGGACATTCTACCTTGCATGGTAGTTGGTAAAGCTGAGAGATGAGTTACGCCTTGCACATAACCATCCAGAATACTTATGTCACCACTGCCACATCAGAGAGTATGTTACCACCTGTTGAGTCTCTAAATAATTGAGAATCAGGGCTCCAGAATTCCAGGGGATCCAGCAGGTGACCTTTCAGAAGCTCACATCCTTGGCACCCAGACCCAACCCCTAAGCACCGGTGGCCTTGCTGTACATCTCGAATCAATGGAAGTTTCTGCCATGATGGAGAACAGAGCTATGAGGGGCTTTGGCGGGAGAAGGGAGATCTTGGGGGGATGCTCCTCATGATCTGTGGCTTAAAATAACACACTGTTTTATATGCAGCACAGGAAAGAGACCACCTCACGGAGCTCCCTTCCCTGCCAGGGCTTGAAGTAGCAATTTTCTTGTGAAGTGCTTGGTGTAATGAGGTCCGCGTGGCTTTGTTAGTGGGGAATTATCATCCACATCTGGTGTCTACTCAGTCTTGAGACATGGACATCCCTTAGGCATGGGGAGCAGTAAGAGCACCATCCCTCCTCCCACCCAGCTCCTGATGAGGCCCTCTTAGTCTCAGCTCTTCGAGTTGTTCATTCTGCCTTTCAGTGTGCAGGGCACCATTGTGGGCTGATGTCACTCTGTCTTCCAAGAGTTCATGCCATATAGAACCCCAAAGCAGGGAATTATAATGCACTGGGAACAGCTCTGAAAAAGGCATAGGACCAGCAAGTACTGAATGTGCAGAAGTTCTAGGAAGGAGCAATCGGCTTTGGGGGATGCTACTTCCAAATAATAAAGGACAGTATAAGCATTTTACCCTGCTGTGTGTGACTGGTGATGGTGGGAAGGCAGAGGGAGGAGAAGGGAGGCCAGGGTCACAGGGTGGCGCCACTCTCCAGGGCCTCCCTTCCTTTAAAAGGCAAGTATGCTGAATGGTAGCCCCACTGGTCATGCACACTTTAGTACGAATTATTTCACTGAGACAGTTTATTTTTCACCTAAAAAGTAGCTGAGAATCAGAGAGGGAGTTTGGAGATATGAGCTAAGGAGCAGGGGGGAGGAGTTCATCTGGCAACACAAAGAAATCTTGAGGGAAATAGACCTGAAAAGACTGAGGGGTGGGGAGGAAATAGTCAGAGGGCCTCCCTTAGTCACTATGTTATAAAATATTTATCAAGTATCTAATGATGTGTCAGGCACCATCCTGAGGATGGAGGGTACAGTGAAAATCCCTGTCCTCAAGCAAGTCCTGCTGCGTGTGATTCAGAGCCAAATGAAAGAAGGGTCATTTACTCATTGTTCTGAAATTCCACAGCAGCAAGTAAAACACCACCAAATCCCTTTGGCATAGTCTAATATCTCCCGACACCGAGAAGAGACAGAACACGCCAATTCCGTCCTCTGACAGCCTGGCGAAGAGGGAGGTTTTCATCACTCAAGGGTTCACCTGAGGAACTTGGGGGGTTCTACTCTCACTACATGAACATCCCCCAAAGGCTCCCAGGAGGTGACTGCTAAATTTTCACAATTCTTTTGTGCTGGTTGTTAAACACAGCCATTTCATTACAAACTAAGTTAGCTAGGCATGGTATTGTCCCAGCAACGCAGGGGGCTGAGGCGGGAGGATAACCAGAGCCCAGGAATTCAAGGCTGCAGTGATCATATCTTTGCGCTTTAGCCTGAGCTGACAGAATTTGTCACTCAGAGACCTTTCCCTAAAAAACTAAATAAATAAAACAAATTATATAAACTGACAATTAAATACATTATATTAAAAACAAAGGTAATAAATACTCAGCAATTCCCTAACTACATTTTACTGCCGTCCATGCTCTGGGTGGACGCTGGCGGTTGTTTAGACTGCAGTATCTGTTAAGAGTACTTTCTCCTGATGTGCTACTGTGTGTCTCTTTCCAGCTCTGTATTCAGTGACTTCAAGTTGGTGGCTTGAAATTTACACCAGGGAAAGTGGCAAATGTCACATGCCAGAGAGACCATTGCCAACTATCTCTCGGTACCCCACTGTGTAAGATCACACACACCAGGGAGGTTGCAGGGAGGGGTTACCTTGGCGGAGAACTTGAGGTGAACTTCTGCCTCATCTGCAAGGCTCTTCTTCACCTGGGCCCATGCTTCTCCCAGGGAGCTGCAATATGAAAGAGATGGTGACACTTGGAGTACCCCAGAGAGAGTTGCCCCAACCTTAGGTCAGCAGCCACAGCCCTCACCGAGGCTGGACGATGGGGAGGTCTATAACATCCGAGACTTTGGACTTGGATGAAACAGACGTTGGGCACAAGATAAACATGTGCTTCAACCCACAGGGCCAGATGAGCCACTGAAGCCAACCTGAGCTAACCTTACACCTGGAGCTAAGAGAATAGCTGAGCAGCTGGGGTAACGTCCAGGCCAGAGGCTCACAAGGACCAGGAGAAGTATAAGAAGCAGGTGGGGTGGGGTCCCAAAGCCTCAGCCACTATGAGGGTCTTGACACCTGGCAGATCACTGTCCCCAGAGCTTCAGCATCATCCCTCTCTGGCTTGCTGATGAGGGGTGCAAATGTCTGCTAACAAATTAAGGAGGAAAACGGATCCCTTTCCAGAGAGAAGCCCTGTTCAAACAGAAGGCGCTACACAGCCCTGATTACAGGGAGACCCCAGATGTTTGACCTCCACGAGAAGCTAAGCTGGATCACGTGGGTCTAGTGACCTCCTAGGACAGTCACAGCCTCAGGAGTGTACAATCGTGTCTAGTGCTGAGTCTCCAGCTCTGAGCCCTAATGCTGCCCACAGCTTACTAGGGATTGCCGAGACCTCTCTGAGAAACCACTTCTCCACTCCACAGAGAGGCTTCAAGTAGAAGAAATCTCCTGAGTCCCTAGGTCTATCAAAGGCGGGCTGGCGCTGCACTCCTCAGGACTTGGAACTCTTTATCCTCACTCACCCCCAAACAACACTCCTGCCTCCCTGCTCACCACCACTTCAGCCCAGCCAGCAAATCCAGGCTGCACGTTCAGTTCTCTGGATGTCATCAAAAAGCCACCTGCCCTAGACAATTCATTAAACTCAAGTGGCAAAAACTGATTAAAAAAAAGTGTGCTGCCAGGCTCCTGGGATTCAAGCACAGCAGCCAGTGGCCAAGAATTACCCGACGGAACAGCACAGAGCCCTGTGATCACCGTCCAGGCCTGCCTGGTGGTGGTGCTGGCCCAGGCTGAGGCAGGTGTTCCTGGGAAATAACTGGCTGATTTCATCTAGGAGTCTTCTCTGCTAACAAAGAAGGTTCCCCTCTGGAGATACCACCTGGGGAGCACACCAGAGGAGCCAGAGTGATGACCAGGACAACTAAAGACATGTTGTTGGCACTTGTCTTCACACAAAGGCTCTGAGCTCCAAGACACTGTGCTTGGGCACCCAATACCCTTGAGGGGTCCCACCTAGGTCTGGCAGTGGTGGGGTGGCAGAAACAGCTGTGGTGGTTATATAGATAAGTGGAACAAAACACAGTCACACACACAGGGTCAAATGCCCTGCAGCAAAGGAAGGAACGGGTGGTGCTTTTAACAAATGGTACAGAGACAACTGTCCATCCTCAGGGGGTTGGGGAGAAGGAACCTTGACTCCTTCTCATGCAATACACACAAATTATCTCAAATTAGCTCTAAAGTGAAAGCCCAGCTATATATACAAAGCTTACAGACGCCACCCTGGGAGCAGTTGGGAACTTGATTAAAGGGAGGTGACAGGGTTTTGCCCCTACAGCTGAGCAACACACAGCAACCCGTGGGGGGTACAAACAAAGCCACAGAAGCCAATGGCCCCAGGTGGTGCCCAGAGTTTGTGTAAGCACATTAGTCCTTCTACAGAGCTGTAGGTCCCCTGTCAGCAGAGCATGTGGTGAGTGACTGGCCCAGGGACAGCAGGGTGGCCTTAGAATGTCATCTCAGACTGTAGGGAAGTAAAACAATGCCTTCAGCCTCACCTCTCATCTGGACATTCCTAGATGGGAGGACAGCACTCTAAACATTCAGTTGGCCCTCTGAGCCAGTCCATCCCCTCAACATACCGCCACTCCTCCCAATTCACTTCACAATTTATAAAAGAGACATTTAACAGCATGGCACAATGGCTCTTGCCTGTAATTCTAGCACTCTGAGAAGCCAAGGCAGTTGGTTATCTTCAGCTCAGGAGTTCCAGACCAGCCTGAGCAAGAATGAGACCCTATCTCTATTAAAAGTAAAAAAATTAGCTGGGTGGTGTGGCAGGCGCCTGTAGTCCCAGCTACTTGGGAGGCTGAGGCAAGAGGATCGCTGCAGCCCAAGAGTTTGAGGTTGCTGTGGGCTATAACGCCACAGCACTCTAGCCTGGGCAATAGCGTAAGATTCTGTCTTAAAATAATAATTAATAATAATAATAACAAAGCCATTTAGAAATCCTCTCATGTGAAGATAATTTTTTTTCATCTGATAAGAGGTTAATTAAAACACCCACAAAATCTGAAATACATTCCTGTTCCAACATATAATTTGAAGCACACCAAATCAAAATGCTTGTTAGTGTCATAATTACCAATCAGGAAAACCAAAATTCCATTTCATTTCCACACAGGAAAGAGAAACTGGAGGCAGAATGAAGAACCTAATTCTGTTTATTTACCAATGTGAATGCGTCCCGTGAAGCCTAATTTGGACACAGCACTCAAATGGCAAAAGCAGCTCAAGTCTCCCTTACTGGGATCTTCTTAGACGGCCCTAAATTTCTAGATATCTAGGCTCCAACATTGTGCTTTGACAGTTTTCAAAGTGGACCGGATTTAATGCCCAAAACTGGATGTAAGTGCAAAATAGTGTTGCTGCACATTCTGTATAGGGGTGGCGGTGTGTGCACGCCCGGATGGCTACTGCTTGGATTGGGTACATGTGGGTGCTGTGTGTGTAAGGAGATCAGTGTGTGTACACATGTCAGGGAGTGGTGCTGATGGGTGTATATGAGCTTGTGTTGTGTTTATCCCTCTGTTTGTGTGCATGGCGTGGTGTGCAGGCCTGACTTGTGGAGCTGGCCTGCTCGGGTTAGGAGCATATGCTGTGCATGTTGGCAGGACACAGTGTCCTTGGCAGCAGCCCAGGCCAAGGAGGTGGAAGTGGGAAGACTCAGGAGCAGCTCAGTGTAGAGCAGAGAGATGCTTAGGAAAGCCCCTTCCCAGGCAGCAAGGGCTACTCCCCTAGGCGCTCCCTTCCTGCTCCCCATCTCCGGCCCAGTACACAGAGTAGAAGGGACCAACTAGTAACCTCCCCTCACCTCTGTGGAAGAGACAATGGCCTTGCTAGGCCTCCCTGCAGTCTGTGGCTGGTGGGACGGGCTGAAAACCATTCAAAGGCAGTTGTTTGGCTGCACGGTCAGCCCATGTGGAAAGCGTAATCAAAGCCACATTTGGTTGGCAAAATCTCTGTCCCCTGAAGGATTGCAAGCCATGAAGGCAGATTTGGACTTGCTTCCCATGGCAGCTCTCTGACAACCACAACCATTCTATGACAGAATGTCTTCCGTCCTTGGGGGTTCATTTCCTCTTGTAGGAAGGAATTCAAACAGAGACTTGTGCCAGAGGCAGCTGGGAAGAGACAGAGGACTTGTAGGGACCCTTTTGACACTAGCCTCCTGAGAGTCTTTATTATTTTTTAAATTGAGATCAGATTCATATAGCATAAAATTATCCACTTACAAATGAACAATCCTTTTAGATGAATGCCTTTAACACACTCACAACACCATGCGACCAGCATCTCTATCTAGTTCCAAACATTTTAATCTCCTTGTTGTGGGCTAAAGGTTTGTCATATGTTATATGCCCTAACGCCCAGTGTGGCTGTATTCGAGGATGGGCCTTTAAGGAAGTAACTAAGGTTAAGTGACATCATAACGGTGAGGCTCTGACCTGACAGAATTAGGGTCCTCTTAAAATAAACATCAGAGAGCTCCTCCTCTCTCTTATTTCTGGGCACAAACCAAGGAAAGATCAAATGAGCTCGTTGTGAGAAGGCGGCAGTCTGCAACCCGGTGGGAGAGTCCTCACCAGATACTAGGACTTTCAGCCTCCAGAACCAAGAGAAAATAAATCTCTTTTCACTAAATCATTGAAGTCAACCAGTCTGGGGTACTTTGTTGTAACAGCCTGAGAAGACAAATACACACCCCACAAGGAAACCTGGTATCTGTTAAGGGATCACACCCTATTCCCCTATTCCCATAACCCCTGGGAGCCAACAATCTGCTTTCTATCTCTATGGGATTTGCCTGTTCTGGACATTGCACATAAATGGCATCATACACTAGGTGACCCTTTGTGTCTGTCTTCTTTTACTTAGCAGAATGTTTCTGAGGTTCACCCACATACCATGTATCAGTGTCCTATTCCTTTTTATGGCTGAATGACAGTCTATTGGAGATCTATTGTTTATCCATTCATCCCTTGATGACATTTTTGATTTTTCCACTTTTGGTCATCATGAACACTGCTGCTCTGTGTATATGTATACACGAATTTATTTGAGTCATTGTGTTCAATTATTTGGGGTATAAACCTAGGAGTGAAACTACTGGGTAATATGGTAATTCTGTTTAGCTTTTTGAGGAACTGCTGGACCATTTTACACTCCCACCAAGTGTACATAGGGGAAAGACTCTTTCACTCACTAGGAATCCTTCTGTGGCTGGGAGGGTCAGGCTGAGCCTTCTCCCACCTGGGTTCCATCCACAGACGTCTAGTCACAGCTGAGGTGGGGAGGGGACCCTGCACTTCAGGTCCCCAGGGAAAGATTCTAAACAAAGAGGTCAGGTACAAAATCATCTCATCTCCAGTTTTCTCTGAGCCTGCCCTTGGAGAAAAGGGAGCTGGGTGGGCACCTCCAGGGTGCTGCCCAGCTACTAGGGCGCAGGCTGGAGAGGTTCTGACATGCCCCGGCATCTGGCAGGAGGCCCTAGGTCACTAGAGAGGACAGCATGGACGTGTCCTTCCTGAGCATGGACGTCTCCACTGCGAGTCATGGTGCCCATCTTCAGCTATGGAGACCTCCCACACGGAGCGGGCCCAGGCCAGTGCTCAGTGGGGGGAGTGAAAGGGGCTCCCTCTACTAAGCGTCCCCATGTGCACCGCACTCCCATCACTCTTCTCCCAACTCACCCTTCCTCCTGTGCAGCCAAGGAGTTCTGAGAGAGCTTAGCTAAGTTCTTCGCATATTCTTCTTCAATCTTTATCCTGCAATGGAAGAAAACCTCACACATCAGTTCTCTAGTGCTACACTAGGTCTGCCCCGATACCCTGCATATGTCAGCCACGCAAAGGGACCTGTTATACCTCAAGCTGTGAGAGGGCACAGCTCTTGTCTGTCTGCCTGACACACTGTAAGTGCTTAATAAATATTTGTTGAATAAATGCATGAACAAAACGGTCTGAATCTCCATCTCATCTGCAAAATGGGATGTTTCCACTTGTCTCCTAGGGCTGTGAAGGCGAGAGCTGCCATTTACACAGCTCCTAGCCCAGAAATGTGAGACCCTAAATGAATGAAGGCAACTCATGATGGACCACCAGGGACACCCACTGCTGTCCCCTCTCTCTTCCAGCCCCAGAGTTCCCAGATGGCTGCAGCCTCTCAGAAGCAAGAATAGAGCCTCTCCCTACTGTCTTCTTCCTCTCCTATGCCGCTAATTGTCAAGCCCGCTGGGGAAGAGTGGAAACCATTGCCATGGAAACCAGGCAGTGCCCCGAGCTGCTGCTCAGTTCTCTGTCCCTGGAGAGGAAAGTTGCTGTGAATGTAGCGTCCAGCAGGCAGGCCCTTGACACACTGGCAAGAGAACTCTCTGGGGAGTGTCCTGTATTACCTCACACATCCCCGTAAAGTGCAGTATCAAAAGTACAGCTCACGGCCTAAGTGGTCCTTTGGGCTGTAGTGAGAGAGAGAAGCTGTGCTTGATGTAAGCTGTGCTCTGGTCAGAGAGAACCTCAGAGAGAACCTTGGTATGGAACCACTCTTCAGCAGCCAGTGGATGAAGGATGGAATAATGGAGAGAGGACAACTGACAAAGTCATAATGAAAGGAATGCCCATTGTATGATGTGGAACCAAGAGACTCTCAGTTTCTCACTCCTCCTTATGCGGTTCTGCCCTCACCTCTCCCTCCAGCTGGCCTCCAGGTCCTCCAGAGTCTAATCTGACTGATCCCCCTCTATTGCTTCCTCTCCACTCCCACCAGCCTTCCCCAGGACATGCCAGCCCTGCCCCTCCTGACTGTGGCCAAGAATCTCTTTAGAAAGCTGATGTAACCATGTCACGCTCCTGGTCCCTCAATGCCAGCCACATGTGGCAGGCACAAGAGGAGCATACACCATCTGCCTCCTGGGCCTCATCTCCCAAACCAGGGCGTATGCCTGCCCCTGTCCCAGTTCTACCTATGCATCTCAGCTCTTGCCCTCCTGGCTCTGAAAGGACCTCTCTACAAGATGCCAAGGTGGGCTGAGAGAAGTGACAGACATCTACATTTTCTCTGGGGAGACCAGAGTGCCGTGAAAGGGCAGATTCCATTTACTGCTAACAAGACATTGTTATGGAGTATAAGCCACAAGTACGTTCAAGCTTTGGGTTTTACAGCCATGTCTCTATTTACCAGTTTTATACTATTGTTTTCTTGCACCCAAGCTATGCAACCTCTCGATGTCCTACCAGTTTAATGGGTCATAAAATAAAGATTTGCTTACACGAATTGAAAATAGGCCCCCTAAGGGAAATGGGAGCTTTAAAACACCAAAGCACTATTACTTGATTATTGTTGTTATAATTAAAAAAGAAGTATTTTTAAAAGATCTTGCCCTTTGCTATAAATATTGCCAGTGTGTCTCAGAAATGCCAGATGAAAATCTGTGTACATGTACATGTGTGTCCATGTGCACTTGTGTGATGAGTGGGTGTGTGCTGGTGTGTGGGTACGTGAGTCTCAGAACTTGGACAGAGAGGAAGAGGGAGATAGAGAAGGAACTTCTCTTCCTCTTTGTGGCTTTTCTCATTTCTATCAGGTTGAATTTGCTATTTCTTCATCTATGTTCCCAAGCACTTTAGACAAACCACTGTTATAATCCCTGACAGCAGGGACAGAGGTAGGAGGGGTAAGGGGGGCTTATAATCTCCTGCTGTGGGACATGGTTTTGCTAAAGATGAATTGATAGGTAAGATTCTCCTTTTTAGTTATGATGAAGAACAATGCTTCAAATGAGGACCAGGTGGGTAAGTAAGGGAATTAAAACAGTTGTGGGGGTAGCAATAGGGAGTGGTGGAGACTGTGGCAAAATGGGAATACACATCCCCTCTACAGAAGTTAATTGCTACTCAGATCCAGCTGTTTGTTGCATGAGGGAGGTAGAAGCAACCCTGCCAACCTTCGCTTTTTCAAGGCATAAGTTTCCAGATTTTAATGTAAAATCTACCAATTTAAAAAGAAAAAGTTGGTTCAAATCTTTAAAAATACCATATAGGCCAAAGTTACACATTTGTTGGCCAGATATGGAGCATGAGTTGGTGGCTCCAGTCTTACATTTCCCTTAGCTAACCAGCCCAGTGCTGAGTGTACAATGCCAGGTCCTTCTGCTGACCCCTTTCAGGACTAAGGGCCAAGGTGCATGCTGTGACCAGGCCCCCCCGGAGCTGGAAGGGGCCCAGGCTTTACCTTTCCCGGATGAATTCTGACATTTCCTTCTGCATTTGCTTGCCCTTCAATTGCTTCTGAAGCAGCAGTTCAAACCCGGCCACGGTACCATTGCCTTGGGGGTCCTTCTTATCAGCCTGCAAAAGAAACAGAAACTAAGAGTTTAGGTGACATCTGGAGATGTCTGGAGTGAGGGAGAAGAGAGTACTGGCAAGACAGACTCTAGGAAGTTCTCTGAAGTGCCTGGCACCCTCAAGGGCAGCACAAGAGGGAGGGAGGAGTTGTCGTCTCTGCTGCCCTAACCTGGATCTCTTCCTGGGGGCCACTGTACCTACATTGCATTCTGAGGCTCAGGTTCTCACCGTAAGTTTCTCCCACCCCATGTCTGAGCCCCTTAACTCTCCCAACCTGGAAATCAATAGTAAAAAGGACAAGTGGTCAAGAATACTGGCTCTCATGCCCAACCCCTAAAATTCCAGCTGGGTGACCTCAGGCAAGTTCTTCAAGTGTCCTAGGCATGGACTTACTTGTCTGCAAAACTAAAGAAATGACAGGGTGGCACCTGTGGCTCAGTGAGCAGGACGTCAGCCTCATATACCAAGAGTGGTGGGTTCAAATCCAGCCCTGGCCAAACTGCAACAAGAAAATAGCTGGGTTGTTGTGGGCACCTATAGTCCCAGCTACTCGGGAGGCTGAGGCAAGAGAATCGCCTAAGCCCAAGAGCTCGAGGTTACTGTGAGCTATGACGCCATAGCACTCTACTGAGGGTAATAAAGTGAGACTCTGTCTCTTAAAAAAAAAAATAACAATGACAAAAAGAAAACTGGGGAAATGACAGCACCTACCTCATGTTGTTCACTGAGATAAGTGACATACTAAATACCTTAGCACGGTGCCAACACACGTATCTACTATCAGTACTTTTAAATAAAAGACAGGATCTGGGGAAGGTGGCTAAGTCAATGGAATGGGAACTTAGGACCCAATTATTAATAACTTTGCAGACAAATATTCTTAGGCTTTCAAAATTGAATAATTTCCTTTGTTGTGTTTTACCTGCACTTCCTCAAGTTCACTTGAATACCCCTTTCCTGTCCTTCCCCTTCCTGATTCATGTGGCCACACTGCTAACACCTCTCCTGACAGAGATCACTACCACATGGGGTGAACCACATCACATGCGGCTACTCTTACAGTTCAAAAATTTCTCCATGTGCATTGAAGACTTGTGCGCCTCACTCTATGAATGCTATATCTTGATGGAAAACGAAGACAAAATTATCCAAACACTGAGCCCAAATCTACCTCTCTTCTAGGTTGGATATGCCAAGCAATCATCCACTCTAGTAGAGAAAACCAGCCAGAAGAAACGGGCTTTAAAAACTATGTCATCAGGGCGGTGCCTGTGGCTCAAAGGAGTAGGGCGCCGGCCCTGTATATCAGAGGTGGCTGGTTCAAACCTGGCCCTGGCCCAAAACTGCAAAACAAACAAACAAACAACAACAACAAAAAACTGTCATCAGAGAGAAAAGGGCCCTGATGGTCAGGGAGATAAAAATCACAGATTAAGTGTTAGAGTCCCCAGAGAGAGCTTGAGTTAAGATGAGGATTCAGTGTTGCTCTGTAGAAGGCTGCTGAGCAGTGGGTAGGATCACACACTTCCTGTAGCTTCCCACGGCTCGAGACCCCCCTGTGCTGACCCCTGGCCCCCAGGATGCTTATCCTTGGGCCTGAACCACTCTCCTTTGCATGCTCCTTTCCTGAGCCCCTCTTTAGGGCTGACTTTCCAAACTCAGCCGTGTCTTTCCATCTCTGCCGCCACCACGTCTTCACTCATCCACTCACCTAGCCCTCACCTCGCAACTTCCACTCTGCCTGCACAATGCAGATGAGTCAGATCACAGCATATTTCTGCTGAAGCCCCATCAACAGCCTCCTACTGCAAACAGAATAAAACCTTCCTGCGGCCCATAAAGCCCTACGTACTCTGATCCCTCTGAACTCACCTCCCCAGGTCTACCTGATGTCAAAGCCCAAGCCCTTTTATGCCATTCTGTAGCCTCCGCCCAGTCTCTGCCCCGGTAGCCACACAGCCAGAGTGCTAGGAATCGGCCCCTTGGGGTGGTAGGTGGGTGAGTGGGGGCAGCAGAAATCTTTACATACCCTCTAAGGCAGTGGTTCTCAACCTGTGGGTCACGACTCCTTTTTAACAATGATAATACATTGTGGCATTTAGGAAGGTTGAGAACCACTGCTCTACAGTGCCAGTGTTTTGGTAAAAGGAAAAAAACACTTCTGTTTAGTGCTCCCTTAGCAAATCTTAAAAAAAAAAAAAAATCCATTCTGCATGGTGTTGAAAACAAATTTTTATTCAATTTATTTATTGTTCCTCGGGGTACTAATGTACCTTTTTTTTTTTTAAGTGTAAAATTCAATGGTTTCAGAAATATTCACAAGGTCGTGCATCCATCACACTATCTGATTCCAGAATGGGATGATCTAATTTTGAAAGTCATAGCTGTCTTTCAAATGCAAATACCCATGACCACTCCTGGAGCTTCTGAGGTGTAGGGATCTGCATGTTTATAAAAAACAATATTTATCTGAATCATGGAAAAATAAACCTAACATACAATTTCCCACTTTACCCATTTGTAAGTGTATAGTGCAGTGGTGTTAAGTATCCCCACGCTGCTGTGCACCCTTCCCCACCAGCTACCCATAGAACTTTTCTCATCTTGGAAAACTAAAACTCTGTGTCTATTAGAAAATATGCAAAACTTGTGGTGCTTTTGTTTTGTTTTGTTTTTTTGGGACAGAGTCTCACTCTGTTGCCCAGGCTTGAGTACGGTGGCGTCATCATAGCTCACAGCAACCTCAAACTCCTGGGCTCAAGCCATCCTCCTGTCTCAACCTGAGTAGCCACCATGCCTGGCTAATTTTTCTATTTTTGGTAGAGATGGGGTCTCGCTCTAGCTAAGGCTGGTCTTGAACTCCTGAGCTCAAGCAATCCTCCCACTTCAGTCTCCCAGAGTGCTGGATTATAGGCGTGAGTCACTGTGGCAGGCCAATATGCAAAAACCTGAAGCCACAGGATTATTAAAGATGGAGCTCTTTATAAATCCTTGCGCCAAACTTCCTTATGATTTTAATGGGAAAAGAGAGGTCCAAGGATGTGCAGTTCTTGTCCAAGGTTGCTTGCAGCAGTGGCAGCAGGTACCGAGCCCAGATTCACTTACTGAGGCTGATTCTAGTCTCCCTGCCTTCACTGAGCACCAAAGAAAATGACTCTCCAGCTTACATGCATTCTGGCTGGGGTTTTTGTGTTGTCATAAATAAAAATTCTGCTGAGACTCTGAGATTTATGGAATAATCTGGATCCCAAGAGGGTCTTAAGTTCCTGTCTGAGACCTTAAATCTACTGCCAGCCTTTCGGGCTTCAACAAGAAAGCCCTCTCCACTTTGAGCTCCAGGCCTCTCCTGTCCAATCCTGGGGTATCTTCTTCTGGTCATCAGGGCCACAGCATAGGGAAACTGAGGCACAGCTTACCCAGAAATAGTCACAGTAGCTCCACTCAGTTGGTTTCAGCAGCTGCTGTTCCGGCATTGTGTCTGGGTGAGGGAACGTCACGCAGTTTATCTGGAGGGCACGGGAGAAGAAAGAAAATGACTTTACTGGACTGGCAAGAGAAGCAGGGAAGGCCTAGCTCCCCACAGGAACGTGCATGGGGGCCTCCCTGTGTTCCAGGAGCTGGCATTTCACAGGATGGGTAACAGGCATCTGCGCCCACCCCAGAGGGGTCCTGACTCACTACAAGCTCTCTGGATGGCAGTTTAACAGAATCAAAATTGCAAACTTCCAGCACCTTTGACCCAGCAATGGCACTACTAAGAGTCTCTCCCACAGATACATCTGTATGTGTGGAGTGACCTAGGTCTGTGGCCGTTCACTACAGCCCTGTTTACAGTAGCCAGAGGCTGGAAGACAGTCCATTACCCATCAGATGGTTTCTGGTTAAGCAAAGAAGGAGATAGACACACCTATGGAAATCGTACAGGAACAGTGACAAAGCTCTCATATATTGATAAAGGAAGTGTGCTGGGACATACTGTTAGGTGGGGGGCAGGAGGAGAGTCTTACAGGGGACAGCACTGTGATTTTTGAACAATACAGGTTTGAATTGTGGGAGTCCATTTTTACGTGCATTTTCTCCTGCCTGTCTCTGACAACAAGCTCAGACCCTCGTCTGCCTCCTCCTTAGCCTTTTCAACATGGAGACGGTAAGGATGCAGACCTTCCAGTTAGTGAATAGTAAAGATATTTTCTCTTCCTTACAATGCTTGAGTAGCATTTTTTTCCTCTAGATTACTTTATGTAAGAATACAGTATATAATCTATACTTGGAACATGCAAAATATGGGTTGACCATCTTATTCGTGAGGCTTCTGGTCAACAGCAGACTGTTAAGTCTTGAAGGAGTCAAAAGTTACACATGAACTTTCCACCATGTGAACTGGGGGAGTCAGCACTGCTCACCCCCATGTTATTCAAGGATGAGCTGCTACACATTTGGCTATTTATGTGCAGAATACTTCCAAGGAAAGGAATCATGGCCGTGAGGGTCAGGGCTCAGAGGTCACTTTACAAATCTTATCTCATGATATGTATTAAATGAACAAATCCAATTTAAAATTATAATCTGAGGCACACACTTGGGGCTGGCCCCAGCCAAGTAGAATGAAGTGCAGAGATTCCTGGGTGGCCTCAGATTTTTCTGCCCCACATGTCTGTGGTGCTCCCGGCTCTCTTGGCTTTGTGGCAGTGGCTTTGCTGACACTGCCCCCATCATGGCACCAAGCTCCAGATCCTTCCTCTCCTATGGAACCGGCTAATTTGCTTTCTCGTAGAAGCAAGGCCGGGCTGAGCCTTATGGGTCTTTAATCCCTCCTCCCAGCCCAAGCACCTGCTGAAGTGGGCGACATCAGACATTAAAGAAAAGAAGGGAGCAGAAAACCCTGAGGTTTTGGGCCCAGGACACAAACTCCAGTGGCAGGCAGGGCACCCAAGCCAGTGAGGCGCCCCCAAGTCACAGAAACTGCAGCTCCGACAGGAGGGTGCACAGCCTCCGCCGTGGGCAGGGCCCAGGTCTGTGGATTCAGCTCAGCTCCTGCCAACTGCTATCAAGCTAGTCTGGGGAGTCCAGTGTTGTCAGAGTGTGTAGACTCGAGCATAGTTGAAGATGGAGACTTTTATGCGAAGTGTCTCCATTTTAAAGTGCTGTTAATTGATTCAAGGCTTAAAATAATAAAAACAATGCCACTGTGTAGGCCCAACAAACTCTTCTTCCAGCAGTCAGGCTCTAGGACCTCTAGCTTAGGGGTTCGAGAGCAGCTGGAGGTAAATCTAGCCCCATCTCCTCCCAGCTGCCAGGGGCACAGGTCCCACTTGCAGTCCGGGGAGAAGTCACAGAGGATGGAGTCCCCTCCCACTCTGGAGTCAAACATGACACAATAGCAAGGCTGAGGGCAGGAATGACCCAAAGGACCCTGGAAATGAGATGGACTCTGCCAAGGTCACAATGGATGTGAAGGGGTCTGAAGGATTCCCTGCACTGAGGAGTTTTGTCCCAACATGACACTGGCCTGCAGCAGCCCGCAGAGGGTGGAGGTAGCCTCTCAAGGCCTCGCATCAGGAAAGGGTCAACCCAAGCCCTTATTCCCTGCTGACTCCCCAAGGTGTGTCCAGAGGTGAGTCTCCTCCATGGGCTCCTGTTGCCCACTGTTAAGCAGGTGTCACTGTGGCAGATGTGGAAAGAAGGAATGGGTTTTGAAATTTCATGGGTTTCTTGTTTTGTGTTCCAGTTCTTCTTGCTTCAACAAATAATGGTGATCACAGTCCACCTTTATTTTGCTTAATAATGTAGCCCATGACCATATCAATCAAATGTGATGATAAATAAACTGTAACATTCAAGTAAACTTGGCATTAATAATCACAGAACTAGGGGGTTGGGGGCACTTAGAAGGGGTCTAAATGCCTTTTGGAGGGCCCTGCTCTCTGGGCATCTTCTACCCTTTCCCTGGTAGACTCACTCAGGCTGCTCAGACTGCTCTGGGCCTTGGCCTCTTGATGGGGCAAGATCTTCCTACCAAGGAAGAGCTTCACCATGATGGGAGGCAGCTCAGCCAAAGGTAAGGCAGGGCAGGGGGGAAATGGGTCTTTCCTGGCCTTCTTCTTCAGAATCCTTCTTGAGACAACCCACCTTCGGGGAAAGGACACTAACTGCCCACCCTGGGATGCTCTGGGTGAAGACAGACCCTGTTAGTCTGAATGGAGACAGCATGTGGGGCAGTCCTGGCAATGACAAGTCCTGGATAGCTCCAAGCCCAACCATGCAAAGGCCTCAGAAGGGCCGAGGTGGGCCAAGGCCTTTCCTAAGTACCACTCAGTCCCCTTCTTTGTCCTAGAGCCAAGGCTAAGTGTGCCTCAGAGTCATCTAGGGGACACAGGTTGCTAGGTCCCTCCCCTAGTTTCTGATTCAGGAGATCAGGGTGAGGCCCTAGCTCCTAGTGATGCTGACAGCCCGGGAGCACCAAATTTTGAGAACCAGCCACTGTGATCCAGTTGGTGGGGACAAGGGCAGCCCTGGGGGAGGCCTTGTGCCCGCCACAACAGAAGACACACACAGGTAGACCAGGCACAGGGCCCTGCTCCTGAGGTCCTAAGTGGCCTCCCAGAGAGATGACTACTTTGGGAACCAGAAGGGTCACAGGTCAAGAAGGTCAGGGGGCCAAACATGGTTGGCATGCTGGGGAGATGAGTAACAGCAGCAGGATGGGGGACAAATTAAGGGCTCATTCTTCTGCCACTCTACAAGAACACCATCCTGGAACACTCTTGCCAGGGACCCCAGGGTGCCCGTCACTGCCTCTGTCCACTCTGGTTTGGGAGTCATCACTCCTCACTAGCCATGGGGACCTTCCCATTCCTTGTGGAGCTTTGTGCCCCCTGGTGGTCACCTGGAGAACTGCACCTTGGCTGCCCTGCGGGGCTGTGGGTGGTGGTTGAGGGAGGAGGCTGTTTGCAGGACCAGAGCTCCTTGGGGGCCCTCACCCAGGCACGTTCCCTAGGGCTTTGCATGTAATCTCATTTCATCTTCCCAGAACCCACAGCAGCCCCATTTCACATCAGGGAACCGAGCATCACAGAAGTTAGGAATTTGAATTCAGATCAAGCTGACTCCAGAACTCTAAGCCCTCAACCACGATGCTGCCTGATGGACCATTTGCTCATCCACCTTCCACTCAAGCATGTTTCAAATGGCTACTCAGTGGCATGCACAATGCTAGATCTTCCCAGCAAATGGCACACATGTGTGTCACGGTATTTCTCTTGCTGGTTTATTTAACACCTCTTTCCCTTGCCAGACAACCTGCTCCAAGATGTCAGGAGGCCACTTCCCTGGTAACTAGCACAGTCCGGCACATAATGGGTGCCCAGTGGATGTTTCCTGGTACAATGACCAGAGTCTAGAGATGTTAAGGCATAAGATGTAACTGCTCTTGAAAGTCTTTGGGGGCTCGGTGCCTGTGGCTCAAGCGGCTAAGG